TAATTTTCATCGTGTGGATATAACAATAATAGAAAACATTGAGAAGCATGATAATTCTGGGAACACTTCATTGTGCTTCTGAGGACCCTGTACAAGAAGCAGTCCCAGAAAGCAAGAAGCAGTTGTTTGAACAGAACAAGGGAGTAATGCATGGTTTCAAAGCAAGAAAGATGTGTGGAGGTTGGATTCATTGTCCAGATACAGCACCAGCCACCAACCTGTGGTCTTCCTCCTGATCATCAGCCTCCACAGTGAGATGTGTCAAAAGAGACCTCCAGCATAGCTTCTGACCCACAGGCTTGGAAGGAGTCTCAGCTGGGCACTTTCCTGCTTCTACAACCCTGTGAACTCTTTCTCAATATGAATTTCTCTCTATAGATACATATGTAAAGACCACTCCTTTTGCTTCTCTAGAGAACCCAGTCTAAGGAAAAGGCCTTCAACAATATAGATTTATACGGCGGCTGCAACATTGGGTTCAAGATTAACGATTGAGAGCATGACACAGGAACAGACAGGGTTTCCTACTACTGTCTATAGGGTTACTACAATTTGGCATGAACTCCAAGACACCTGACAAGTTATCCAACTACTGATGGAAGTTGGAACTATTAAATAGGAATGTACGTAATTTTTCTGTTTCTCACTCATCCTAATTTTTAAAAACTGGCTTCGGTGAAGTACATTTCGTGTTGAATAATGGTTATTTAGGGAGCAGCGGTGATTCAGTGGTAGAATCTCATGATCTAGCCAGAAATCCAGGTTTAATTTCCAGTCAATTAGGTGTCATGTGTAGCAAACACCTTATTGTCTGTGACGGCTTGATATATTATGATGCTGAACAGTGTTATTGGAGCTTCTAGACTAAGACAAACAAAAACCTGCTCATAAAAACGAGCTAATATAAATCCTATGGAGTGAACCGTTCAATGTGTAGTTGCCCATGGAGATGACACGTGACCAGGAAGAATTTAGTTCTTTTGTACATGAAGTCATCATGAGTGGGGGTCCACTTAACAGCAACTGACAATGTTCTGGTTATTATTATCTCTTATCGTTTATATCCCTCACATTTTTGTGTAGCTAGAGATACAACCCTTGGCTTGGAGAGAGTCCATTTTTCAGTGTTGTCATAAAAATATCAAAGGAAAACCTTTCTCAAAAGCCTAGCATTCACAGTCTCTCACAAAAGTTCAGGAGCATTCAGAAAAGTATGTTTCTTAAAAATGTAATGATCTTAAGTATATGAATACTGTCATTTTAATCTTTCTCTCATTTTCAAATGTTTTATTATGTTGAGAGATATATAGCACATAGTATTTTAGGTGTCTCAAGTGTACAATTCACTGACAAAATTATCTATCTTCGCTATTATTCCCTTCCAATATTTTTAAATGACTGCAAACAGAAACTCAGTACCCCTTGAGTAATGGCCCTCATTTTCTCCTTCCTCCAAGCTCTGTTGACACATCATAGCTGTTTTATGTATTTGCCTATTCTACATTTCAAATCTTTAGCACCATATAATACAATGACCAACTGACTCTTTACCATCAAGACAATACTGATTCATAATGACTTCCTGTGTGTTTCTAAGAGTATAACTGTTTATGAGAACAGAAAGCCGAATCTTTCTCAGAGCTGCTGGTGGTTTTGACCTACCAGCCATGAAGATTACAGCCCAATTCATAAACACTACACCACCAGAAGTCCATATAATAAGAGGAGGCTCAAA